TTTTGTGTTCTGAATAATTGCTTAATTAAATATGTTTAAATAAGTAAGTTTTCAAGGAGCAAAGCTAGATAAAAAATTTCAATGAGAGAGTTTCACATTGGTTTGCGAAACGTCCGATTAGACAGTTTTGAACTCTATATCTGTTAGGTGTTAGGGTTTTTCGGCTAATTACAAATGTTCGCGAAATTAAAAAAACACCACGTGACAAACCCGCTCGTGCGCCAGTGCGTACAATGATTCTAGTGCTCCCTAACATTCCGCTTACGAACGACCATAGCATTTGCCCCATTGTGCTATCTCGGCAGGGCCGCAACGATGGTGGTGCCTTTACGATGAACATGTTTTGCTATTGGCCACAAAAACGATAACAGCTGTGACTGTTTATCGCTGTTATAAACCGGTGCGAGGGAAGCGTGTCGTTCGTACGCGAAACGTTAGGGAGCACTAGAATCATCGTGCGCTCGGACGCGCGAGCAGGTTCGTCACGTGGTATTTTTTTCTATTTTGCAGGCATTTGTAAATAGCAGAAAAACACTAATACTTAACAGATATAAAGTTCAAAACTACCTATTTAGACGTTTTACAAACTGATCTACAACTTTCTCATTGAAATTGTTATCCATCTTTGTTACTACAAAAGTTAGTTAAATAAACAGAATTAAACAATATTTGAGAACAAAAAAAATAGTCTGACTAACCCCAGGCAACGGTGAGCAACATGCATTTGGTCGCGTCGTAATTATGTGCTCCGGCATTTTTTAAAACTCTGGCTAAGGTTACGTGGGACACCCTGTATAGAGGACTCAGCATCAATGACTTGCTGACAAAAAAGTCATCCTTTTTTCTTTGCACGTTTCCTCGGTGTCCATACACTGTAATATGACCGAGCCAGACAACTGTGACACTGCTGCTCCGAGAGAGACGTGCCTTCTCGTCAATATGGCAAATAGCGCGTTTCTAGAAGTTGCCTATAAATGCCAGACGTTTACGGTATGGCCCTTCTAAGCACTCTCGAAACGTCCCCAAGAAGTCATCGACTCTGACACGGCCATCCTCCCGAGACTATAGTGAAAAAAAAAAAAAAAAAACGCCAGGTGGAATGCGTAGCACTAGCCACAGCGAAAGCTGGAAGAGCGGCCTTTCAGAGCCTTTTTTGAACACACTACGTAGCTGCTGCAAGCACACTTGCAGGGTATCCACTGCGCTATTATCCAATTTTGTAGTTGGCAGGCCTTCACTATGCCATCCTTCGTGATTCTTTGTAGAAGTGTGGTAACCGCAGCACACTTGCAAGGAACTTGGCGCAATTTTTCTTTTGTGTGATGTGGCTGACCACGATGAAGGATTATGCCAAATTTTGTAATCCCCACAATCCCCGCACAGTGGGCATGTACCACAGTTAATAGGTGTACAAGATCAAGCTTTTTTGAACGAGTGGAGCATTCGACGACCCAATCGTAGCGCAACTCGCGTTATGTGACACCTGATTGTTTCTTTGCTGTTCTAAAATGCTTTATTACTCATATTACGTGATTGCTTTTCCGACACCAAGCCTGCCTAAGGGCAGTTTGGAAAGGAGTTCCAAGTACCGGCGTGGCTCAGTAGTAGAACGCTGAGCTGGCATGCCGGGGGCCCGGGTTCGAATGCCACTGTGTCCTTGGTGTTTTGTTTTATTTACGTAGTTTTTTTTCTTTCGTGCTACAGCGGTTACAGACACCGGCGGCGGACAACTACGGCGTGCACGAGAACCGTGTTGTGATCTCGTAACAGCTCACTGTAAAAAGTGGAATAGGAAGTATGAGAACAGTTAAATAAAAACAAACATGGCACATGAGACGAAACGATTTGTGGGATAAGCGCGTTTTTTTCGCTTCAGTATATATTTCGCCTAAAAGCATGCCACTGCACACTTGCCTCGTCCTTAGCAGTCATACCTCACAAGATATCCTTAGCACGGTGCGCTTGCACGTTGATTAACTGGCCGTACGAAGCACGTGAGTACAGCGGTGAGCACTGGGTAAGCACACGGGCACGTGGCTAGCAGCACTATCAGTGCCCCAGTAACGTCCATTAATCGAAACTCAAGCGGTACACTCTTTTCACCACGGGCACCACTTCCCGCATCCATTTCTTCGTCATCTGATAGCCGCAGTTTCGTCTGCTAGGCTGACACATCGTGCGTTTCAAAGTCCACATAGATTCAATATTGGCGCCTGAAAGCAAAAATGAGTATAAGAAAGTTTACATTTGATTTTTTTCTTGAAGAAAACTCGAAAGAAGAAAATAACTTAAAATGCGGGATGCATCAACCAAGCCGGAAAATGTGCGGCAAGCAGACGATCGAACAAGCCAATTTATGACATCGTGTGTGCGGTGGAAAGAGCGTATCGCAGCTCACACGCTAAGTTTTTGCAATGTTTCGTACGATGGATGTTTTAGGCGCTGCGCTGTGCTCCCTACTGGGCTGCAAATATTAGGGGCCTTTTTCTAATTATTACTACCACCATGACCACGATGGTTGTTACGCGGCTCTGATAGTCCCGTCGGCCACGCGCTCACACCAAGGGTGCTGACTGATTTACTGTATACGTACTGACCTCACAGTAGCCTTCACACACGGAACTGGCATCTCGCGTAATTGCTATTCGTACCTAATCCAACTGTCGTGTTTATGGTTGTTTTTATTTGTTTTTGTTGTACTTTTCCCTTGTCACACAGCGCAGAACGATGGCCGCAGTTGCCTGAGCGACGACATGGACGGGTAAAAAGAAAAACAGAATCTTTACTTACCGTTCGGGTTCCGGACTGTGCGGATTGCGTGCATCACTCTGTTTGGCAGTCACCGCGGCCGGCTCGGTCGCGGCCCGTGACCGTCACGAAACGAACGCGCTCGCAGTACGTCCACTTTTATGGCCGTCGCAACGCGCCGTTCACGTCCAGCGTTGCGGACACAGTCAAGCTGCTAGCACTAATCGCGCAAACATGGCTAACACCACTGAGCAATCCGGAAACTTTCATTACGGGGCGAGAGATAAAGGCGACACAGGGAAAGCGTGCATGCCGGCCCATGCATGCACCCCAGGCTCTGCGCTGCTCTTTGCCTCTCCCCGCCCTTTTTTTTGTTTTATTTGCCCGCACCTACTACGAGTACGTTGTAAAGCCATAGTGAAATCGTATTGGTTTTAAAAGCTGGAACGAAGAGTTGTGGTCGAAAACCTGTTGTCAGAAACATCAACTCCCGCCGTACATTTGAAGCGTGACTAGGTAAGGAGGGCACATAACAAAAAGCAAGAACTTAGAATCTTTTTTTGGTCAAATAGTCACGACTTCAAATATGCCTAAGTAGAGTAGAAATTTACTTTAGGTTTATCTGACACTTGAGCGTCTCTCATAATCATATGGTGGTTTGGAACGTTAAACCCCACATATCAATCATCTGACACTTGGCTAAATGGTTGATAGCCTCATGTTTTCTTCGAGCGCCGCAAAATAGAGGTGAGGGGGGATGCAGGCCATCTGCATTCCGGGCTTTTGTTTAGTTCAGCTCATTGTCATTGTCAAGCGTAACTTCCATAGAGGCCCATGAATCCAGTAATTTGCGGCTCGTTGTCACCGTCGCCAGCTACGCATGTGAGGAACTAACAAAAAAATAAATGACGTAATAAATGGAAGAGGTAGCCACGTCACGAAATCGCCCTAGGTGGTGCGAAATTAAAGTTTTTCTTAATTGCTAACCTTTTTACATGGCGTAACAAATACGCGATTTTATTCGCGCCTTATGTCTCGGTAATTGCGTGAGCGAGGAAAAAAAAGGAATACCAACAAGAAACATTGAGAAAGCAATGATGTTTTATTGACCGAATAGTGTACTTGCTATATACACCGAAAACTTTGCTGACCTAACTGTACCTATTCACGAGCACGATAGCGTAATAGTTCAAAAAGTCAAGTTGCACATCGCGAAAAACCACTGCATTGAGACAGCGGCCAAGGGAATATCTGCTTTGGCAGCCATAGAGTAATGCGTATCGTTGCTTAGCGTGTCGTATTCACCGGCGCAAAGGCGAGGGCAAGCCGGCAGTGCGGCAGCGAAGGCTACCTACACACTGTGAGCTACTTCAGCTCTAAAATGTCTCGCCGGTGAACAGCACACAAAGAAACAAAAAATAAACTATAGAAAGTACGCACCTTAGGGCGCACTTGTGAAGTGCGCCAAGAAGATGTAATGAAACTTATTACGGTGTGCTCCGAAGACCTGAATTCATTTCTTTTTTTTTTATTCGCACGAAAGCAGCGTCTGATACATAAAAGAAAAAGCATCACCTAAAACTTTGGACTATTAAGATGGTCTAGCAGCTCGAGAAGTAGTCATGCATGTCTTCTTGCGAAACGAGTACTTAAAGGTCGCCCATGCTGTTACGATGGAAACCAAGGCGTTACAGCAGGCGGTATTTTGAATACGCTAACAAAATGTAGTTTTGTAGCTGCGGCGTCATGGCATACGGAAGGCTGATATCCACGTCAGCACCGAAGTGTTTCTTTTCATTCCCCCGTTGCGCACAGAGACGCCAAACGAAGGCAACAAACACTGAGCACCCCCAACAGAACTCTAGTAGTATCTATGGTAACACCTAGTCCATGGGCCAACAGACGTTACAAAATGGAGCAAAGTTGGAGCGTGAACGGCTGGCGTCCTTCGTGTGCAACTCTGTGACGCGACGAAATACTGTCACTTTTCGGCAGTACAGATGAACAGCTTTCGAAAGTGACGAAAGGCATCGCCCCGCCTAACACTTTCCATGCATACGTGGTAGACAGCGACTTCGTCAATGTTAAAGGACTCGTACCGTTAGAAGTAGGTCGAAATAGCCGATAAAATGGAGCAGTAAATCTTCCGTGGACGTTTTCTGGATTCTCGCCAGAAGGTGACGATAAATGTTAGGAAAAATTTGAGGCCCTTGATTCGTCAACATTTACTGGGAGCAGAATGGGGTCGATTTTCACATGCTGGCTTCTTTCGCTGGATTTTGCCGGGAAGCCGGTTCCTGGGAGGCAGTCGTGGAAGCCGTACTGGAGTGCTGAACAGTGTCTAGAAGTACAGATGGTCCAACCTCATCTGTGACTACGGCGACCCTGGATTCCTTGTTGCATACTTTTGTCGGCCCGTTCTCACAACTTGGACAGGCGGGAATCACCTTGTCGTGGTTCGAGTCGCTCAAGGGCGTCTTCCCTTCTACACTCTCCACGTCTTCGAGTGTCAGTGCTTCAAATTTCGACACTGTGCTCTGTGTGCATGCTGGAGAAACACTTTTACTACATCCAGCGACCTGGTGAGGTTCGACGTCTTTGTTCAGTACTGCTTCGCCGCATTGCGAATCTTCAACCGAGCTGAATGTGCAATCGTTCTCGTAGTGTAGAAGCATGTCTTTCAAGGCGCCCTTGAACTCACATCCTTGGGCTTCGTTCCAGCAATAAACCTTCATCGAAAAACAAGAAAAAGAAACGTTAAGATCCACGTTAGCCGTTCGCACTGAAAATTTGAGCCAACCCCCGACCTCATTCAGTGCTTCAGTATAGAAATGCTCGAACACGTATTCTTTATTGCAAGATCTAGCACTCTAAGCAGTCCGAATTATCCAAATTTTCGAATTATTGAGTGTCCAATTAATGAGCTTTTACTGTAGCTATCTAGAGATGCACTTTTAGGGGTGAAGCGCTCTACACCGTGGGTCGTATGTCCCGCGTCGTTGTAGTAGTAGCCACTTCTTGTTTAGTACAGGATATCCGCTGGATGGCGGTACTTGAAGTGTTCACTGGATGGACACATGCACAGACAGACAGACACAGATAGATAAATTGACGAATGCTTCGCCCAACTTATCATTCCCTCCATAAGTATGCTGTGATTTTCTCTTTCTGCTCTTTTCTTACTTTTTTGACTTCATTGATGCATTCCAGCTTATGATGAGTGGTGGCTTTGGTGCTAGTGAGTGGATGAAAATACGGAAGTAGAAAAACAAAGTTAAGTGCACTGGTACGTAGACTATATAGTTATATTGGTGGGATTCATCCACGTGGCGTACCAAACATCCTACCCTTGTTCTTCCCAGGTCCGCATGAACAGAACGGCGCTGGCCAGTGAGTTTCTGCTGGTACGGAAATCTGAAATGTCCAGGTAAGCCCGATAATGCTTCAATTTCTTCATCTCTGCAAACAT